TATATATATATATTTCAATTTCTAATCAATTTTGATTAGTTTGGATTGAATTTATTCATTAATCATGTAATTAAAACGAAAGGACAAGAAAGGCAAAAGTGCAACAAACAACTCTGATTAATATGATAAGCAATAAAAAGTAACAACTACAATACTTTCATGCGGGTCCCATAAAAACGATTTCAAATTGCACAGTCAAAGTAAAGAACAAAACACAGACAAAGTCTAAAAAAGTCCATCAGCTAATACAGTAACTTTAGCATACCGCTACCCATCTTTTTGATATTTTGTTTTCCCACTCTGGGCATGTATCTACTCTGATTGGCGGAAAATAGAAGAGCACTCATACGTCACGATGCAAAGCCTGACTGCAAAAAGGCGGTAACAAAGACAATCTTCACACTGCTGTTGTAGCAGTGAAGACAATTAGGTCAGCGTCGTAGTCTTTTGCGCACGCGATTTGAATCATTAACAAGACTAAAAAACATTCAAAATCGTATATTTTCTGGTTATTTTCACAGTTTTTGTTAAAAATACAAGTTCACCTCATTAATAACGATCGGTCGTTAGTTTAAAACAAAGGAAATATGTGTGCACTATACTAAAGGGCCATAAAATAAGAGTGGAACTTAATTTATCGACAAACCCAAACTTTTCGCTTAAACGAGAATTTAGGTATGGTACCTAATTTCTCGATTGTACCTAAATTTTCGTGACACCGGCGGCGTTCCGTTGTTAAGACACAGAACTGTATTAGCCTATGTTTAACCGCTGTAATAGAAAATGGTGATTATGGGCCTACTACAAACTAGGCTTATCCTGCTTAAATCATTATGTTTTTACTAATAATTCTACTCTTGCTGCATGCATATAGACGATCGGTCGTTAGTTTAAAACAAAGGAAATATTTATGCACACAGTACTAAAGGGCCAAAAAAGGTTGAAATTACTTTAAAATCGGCCTATCCGGACCTGAAAATTATGTCGATATAGCCGAGACTTATAAAAATTCGAATTAAACAAACAATTTACACAGTAATAAAGAATTGGGACTTTTTCAAGAATTCGACTGACGCGAATTTTCGACATAAACAGAGTCGACTTTGGCGGACTCGACTGTATATATATAAATCATCAAAGAAAGTTAAATGCAGTGTTCGAATAAAGACCAAATAATACATCGTGCAGCAAAGCTCTCAACGAATTTAGTCGTATAAATAAATGAATAAATAGGCTAATTTGTGTATTAAAATGCCTCTGACGAGATTCGAACCTGTGACCTCTCGCTTTCAAAGACAAGCGTCATAACCATTAGACCACAGAGACTTCATGGTTGAGCAGATTCAAATAAAGTTATTTATGCCAGTAAAAAGACTCCAACAGAAATTACAGCATTTTATATTTGATGAAATTTTTGAAATAA